ATAGACCCATTGCACATGACGTCACAGCGCCGGTGACGATGCATCTGGAGGACAAATTAGCAATCTATGCATAATATAACTTTTGTAAACAAAGCAAATTTTGTAAAACTTTATAATAATTTTGTATTAAAATGGTTAGTTTTTGCGCTGTATGTGGTTGTTGTACCCGAACAGATATTGCTAGGGAGCATCTGGAGGACACTCTAAGGATTTGTGACGTCACTGCAAAGGGTCTATAGTTAGTTCTGAGTCGTATGTAAAGTAATCTGAAATCAAGGGGAGGAGGGAGGAGGAGGAGGGAGGCTCATTGCTAAAAGCTATAAGTAGGAAATAAGGGACGAAAATAATGAATATGTCAAAACCAGTTTAAATTCCATAATAATCTAATGGATATCTTTGCTTTTTGCGGTGTTTTAGGGAAAGGCTTGCATGGATCAAATGACACAAACGGTATACTATCGATTTTTCAAATAATAGTTATGATACCAGGCTGCCTTTCAAACATAGACGTCTGTGCTCAAAATTTGTAGATCCCTTGGTAACCGTCATTTATTGAAAACATTGAATTTATGAATTATGATAAATTTATCTCGTACGGTTTCGACTTCTGCATTATGCAGTTTTGGGGGGCATGAATTCGCATCAGGGAAGAGAAGAATGCTCCCACACGTCGTCAACCTATATAATAACATTGAACTGATAACGTGGGCCGACTGGATTTCTACATGTACTGTAGGTTCTGTGACAAAGACTTACTGATACAAAAACGGGATGGAGGAAAATATCGTGCACATTCTTTGCCTAGGAAGCTTCGTTGTTCAAAGCATTTACTTGAAGAAGATCATGCATTTCGACTCTATACTAAAATGCAATTGGCAATACTGGAAAATGCCCTATCTGGCAAACTTGAACTGTCTGTTCCAGCGTCAGATAGTGCCAATAATATTAACAAGCTTTCGTTGGTAGGCATGCAACTACTTGAAAAATATAAGGAGAATTTTGACGTTTCGAGCGAAGGCCCTTCGTCTGCAGAGTTAGTCTAGCCTATCCGGCAAAACAAGTCGAATTACACAATATTTTGATTTTTTTGTAGAATGTTGGTTTTGAAGGTTTATACAACGTTTTGTCGACCATCCCAGTTCTGAATAAGGTACGTGGAAATTCGAATATATTAAGACCGTTTTCGACTTCAACCGTATCGTACAGAGAGGTACTGGTGAGCATGCGTAGATTGAAAAGAGGTTCACAAATTCACGTATTTCCGCTATATATTCGCGTATCAAAATGAAAATTAAAGTTCACTAAATTTTAAAATATTTTTGGATAACGTTTATATAAGTGGAAAACGCTTCAAGTGCAAGAGACGTTTTGCGATGAAAAGCGATCGGTCAGACGTTTGATTTAGTCAGATCTATTTTATTGAAACGATATATTACGTCACTAAAAAATGTCACGTGTGGCGGCTTTATACTGTACCCAATAAAAAAACATTGTCATTATTGATGTAAACTCTCCTATGCAGTGCTACAGGCGTCGGAAACCCGTTTTTTCTATTTTAACTGCAGATATAAGCTACAAATTAATTTAGTCATTATGGAACAAAATGCATTGTGCCACATCCGAATAACCTACACAGTATCCTTGAACATCATCTATTTCAGTTGCCATGTTTATAAAATTAATCTAAAAAACTTTACAAACATATTTAGGAGAAAGTTGGAATTAGTTCTTCTAAATTTCACTTGATTTACACAGTACAACTTAAAAGTTGCAGTATTAAAGTAGGTTGCATACGACAGTTTTAGGCACAACTTAGTACACACGTAAAAACGCACAAGTTTGTTACAAGTTGTTAACAAGATGTATTCGCACTGCTTGTCACAAGTTGTCAACAGGTTTGGAACAACTTGTTGACAACTTGTAACAACCTTGTCGAAATTATCAGACTTGTTGCAAGGTTGTTCTGACAAGTCTGTGACATGCTTGATATAACAAGATTGTTACAACCTTGTGTTGACAACCTTGTAACATCCTTGTTATATCATGGCTGTAACAAACGTGTTAGCACAATCTTGTAACAAGGCTGATAATGCCATCAAGCTTGTTACAAGTTGTTAACAGCTTGTTTCAAACGTGTTACAACAAACTGGGAACAAGCAGTGCGAGCACAACTTGTTGACAGCTTGTGAACAGACGTGTAACAACTTGTTTGCAGACTTATTAATTGTTACAACTTGTGCGTTTTTACGTGTGTAGTGTATATTGGCCTTTACTGTGCAACAGTGCGTGCTGTCAGTAATGTCTGGTGCATGTTAAAGGAAGTGACACGAAAATTATGCAGGCCTTAAAATATCTTTTACAGGGCCGTCTGACAAAATGTCCGATGACGTTGAGTTTGGGTCGGACATATGTCCGATGACCTTCAGTTCAGTTTTGACTTGGAAATAATTCTGAATGACACAAATGTTGTGAAGATTTTAAATAATTTGTTTCTTTCATACTTATTTCCAAGCCAAAATTAACTTGCTTTCCAGAACAGCAGTAAAAGACTTTACAACTTAAACCCGTTTTCCACTTCACCATTTCGCTCGCCGCCCCGCGCTCGACTACGTTAAAACGACATTTACAGTTCACCTTTTATACAACAGTACTCTGATTTTCCAATTAACCTACAAGCCTCTAGTCCTGGGCTAGGGTACATTTTGATTTACGATGGACAAAGCTACAGTTCGGTCGGACGCAAATATACTCAGGTCGGACAAACAATAAACCTCAGTTTCACTTAGGTCGGACAGAATGTCCGGTGGTTTCCTCCCTACGTCGGATAATTTCACGAATGGGTCGGACAATGTCCGTGACCGACCGATATTTTAAGGCCTGAATTATGTTATTCTAAAATGATGCTTTTTATAATTTTATTGGAAAGATTTTTCAAGATGGTAGTATAACATTCTTTAGCTTATTAGGTTTTTCCATATTTCTTTTAAGTCCCGATCACAAATGTTCGCTTGAAATGTAAATCACAACTTACAAATCACATTGCATAATGAGCCTGTCAAATTAAAATTTGAAGCCTTTTTAGTATAAAATTAATTGATGGCCGTATTTGCTAGTGAAGCAAAACCTAATCAACTTCAAATATCGTTTTCCCATTGGACTACCACCTAAGATCTTTTCATTTTAGCACCAATGAACCAAGTGGCATTGTATTAATTAGTTTCTAGCGCATATTACACGACATATAAAAATATCTCCTCTAAATTTTGTTTTTAGTTAACAACATACACTGTCCTAATGCAAGTGAATTCTGGTAAAGTGGAAACATATCGTCGATATTGCAAGGATCCATGTTTTCCTTGGTAATATCTTCTTCAATTCATCAGACTGACTTAATTAGTGAGCTCAATATATATTGATGCAGCAGCAATGCTGCATGCATGAGTAATATCTTAGACACTGAAAGTGACAAAGCGAAACTCGATTTATATGGACGTCAGTTTCAATCCTCTAGCTGGAGCATGGTTGTTATAAGACCTGGTTAGGAAACCCGGCAAACTTCAAAGAAAGTACGCTATCAACCAACATGGAGGTTGAACAGTCAGTTTGACCCTGCACATATTGGTTTTAATCAATGAGAATTGACAAAACGATGTAACACAAACATTCTCCATCGAAAAATGGTGGTAATACTGTACTTCGTTATTTGGAAAATATATGCCGCAAGATATAGCCCCGGTAGGCAAAACAAATACTTGGTACCCATTCCCTTCGCCAAGCTTTCTGAACTGACTATTGTCAAACAATAGAAAGACAAAGGATTTTTCAACCGTGACCCTGCACAAGGCACACAATCACCTAAAACAAAGGGTTTCCAAACCATGTCATATATATTAACCCTATGGCTGGAGGCAATGACATTTTTTTGTGGTTAAAACGTGTGAGTGGACTGGAACTGACGTCGTTACTGTCGATGCAATGGAAGTGTTGATAAAATATTGCATGAATTCATTTCCTCAAGTTGATCAATTCATACGAATTCAAATTTCTTTTTACTTCCTGTGCGTTTCCTATTGGTCAATCGGTTCTGAAACGAAATCTAATTGGCTCATCTAAAAGTAACAGGAAATCAGGCCCCCCATAAATTTGAGGGCCTGCCACGCAGGTAGATAGATAGATAGAAAAATCCTTTGTCTTTCTATTGTTTTTCCTAGAAGGAATTGGTGCAATATTTTATCAACACTTCCATTGCATCGTCAGTAAGATAATGTTTTTGGAGAATTTACTTGTAAGATCTTACTTTATGTTATACAGGGTGTCCCAAAAAAACGAAAACTATTGCAATCACCAATAACAATTTAATTGTTAGAATTTGAATGTCTTAGCACTCTGTTGGTTCCCACGAGTGCATAAATGATTGACATAAGTAAATTTTATGCATAAAGAAACTGTTTAAGAAGCTGTTTTAAATTCCCAAGAGCAGAAGATCGCGCACTTTACAATGAGATGATTTTAACTAAATTTTAATACATGCACCTTGTCAATATTTTACGCATCATTACGTTCAGCTGTTTGGAAGGGCATTCAAATTTAACAATAGTGATTTCAAAAGTTTTCGGGGTTTTTGGGACACCCTGTATATACATTGAACTCAATTGACTAAACAGTCATGCAGTATGATTTTTAATAATTACTGAATATTATAATACAAAAGGAAATCATGGTTTTGGTTGAATGCCAACAAGCTTTTCATGGTTAAATATCTAATATAGGTGGGGAGTTTAAATTAATTAAAAAGAAAATGAAATGTATAGTGATTTTATTAAAATTTTTGCTTCAGTAGGCTCAGTGATGGAAAGTTATTATATTTGGAATGATATTGTAAACTAGCGCGAAAAAGCGGGGGGGGGGAGGGGGAAGTTGCTCCTGCTGCTTGCCGCCCTTCTTTTTAGCAACACGGGCTTGGGAACAGCGAAGTGCAGAAGTCACTTTTAATGTATAATGTTTAATGTGTAGTCACTTTTAAATTATAAATTCCACATTTTAATCATCAAATTTAAAAAGAAAATTTGTCACATAGGAGGAATAGTTTTCCACTTTTAGGTCGCTACAAGCTCTGTTTAACTTGAATTTGTTGTTTCTAAGGCAAAAAGTTTAATTTCAGTCGCGCGTTTTGGAAGTTCATTTTCCCGCGCATGGGCTTCAACCATAGGACTTGATCATAGGACTTGATCATTAGGAGTTAGCGTTCCAGTATACTTACAGTTCAATGGATTACCGAGCGTTTGCGAATACGTTCCGATTATCTCCGAAGTATCCCGACGATTAGAATGTTCGAATTATTTGGCCGCTCTGGAAACTATGGCGGGAAGAATTTGCAGCAAAAATACCGAGAATAAACGATAAAATGAATTCTAAAATAATGTATAAAATAGACGACAAACAGAAGTGCTACAGGGGAATAAGGCAATGATCTAAAAGTGGACTAAAGGTTCAAAACACGGCGTGAAAGGTAGGCTGTTGTGTGTTGTGTGTATCATGTTCGGTCACATGTCAATTCAACATGCTTGCTAAACGTATTTATGGGAGATTTATAGAGAAAATGAACGTTTCGCTGCTTCATCTCGTATCAGGTCGAAACAAACTCTTCCTCATCGATGTATTCAGATCTTATGATATTATTATTGTGATATTATGGTCTAATGGCTTTTTTGACGAAAATATAATATTATGATGTCACGCCTGACTAGAATGCCCCCCTCATTTATAAATTAAGGCCTCGTGTCGTACGGTCGCGATATCAACTTGCCACGAGGAATACAGTAGGCAAAATTCAGCCACTGTTTAGCTAATCTTAAAATTCTTTTGGGTCTAGCTAACTAATAAATGAATACATTAACAAAACAGTTTGCTTGCAGCTTAAAACATTTGCATATAACGATGAAACTGCCATTTGCATAATTTTCTATTAAAAGCACCTGGTGACGTGCCAGATTGGAAAGTGGGCTAGATGAAGCTTTGGCTAACATATTGTGTGGGCACCCTCGTATATTGTGCGGGCAATTTTGTTTTTCCAGTGGCTTAAGGTGGAATAATAGTACTAATTGTAGAATGGTTAGGTTTAGATGCAAATTTCGAGTGTGAATTTTTTATACATTTATTAGGAGCAGTTGAGAAACATGCTACTGTAGGTCCTCTTGCAGGAATTGATTTAAACCTGCGGCCCTGCGATTCCGGTGCAGCACTCCAACCAACTGAGCTACAGAGGCCAGTTGTTAAGCTCTAACTGCAAGTTAGAGGGGCCTTGGTGACACAGTCGTCAGAGCGAGTGCCTTTCATCTCTGAGAATGTGGATTAGATTCTTGCTGCGGGCCCATGTGAAAAGAGTCAGTCAACAGGGGTCGAAATTCCCGCTAATCCGAATACACTAAAATGCCTGACGGAATAGTAAACTTCATGATCACAGTATTCCGTTTGTATAGTAGAAACAAATGTGGTACCAAATATCGACAAGCAAGAGTTTTCCTCTTGTATAATAATATATCACTTTATACTGGACTTTGAGCCACTGTTCCACTTCGTAGCTAAGTTCTTGTTCGCTTGCAATACTCATATTCTAATTCCTTTGCACCAATATTATTGTTGATTTCAAATCACTTTTCAACGCGCGGTTCCCAAGGTTGTTGCGAACTTGCCAATTACGTTTCCAAGTTTGGAAATTGGGTGTGAACTTTGCAACAAAGTTCGCAAGTTCATTTCAGTGTTTGAACTTTGTTTTTTATTAATAAATTATTATTTGTTCAAGCACTGTACATGTTTATTTTTTGTTATTCAATTATTCAATTTACTTCAGGAGTCTCAAGGACCGATGATTTCGCGAAAATCAGAACATTAGCGCGGACATGAACAGGCTCTCAGAAACAGTACATTAGGGAATAGTGGATTTTCAGACGGAATAGTAAATATAAAAATCTGCTATTCTGGCTGTATAGTACAAACAAATTTAAATTTTGACCCCTGATCAACGCTCTGCCAAAAGTTGTGGCTTTTCTCCAGGTGTTCTGGTTTCCTCTCACTGGGAAAATTGACAGGGTGGGTTAGGATAAACATCGTTAGGAAAGTAATCACAATTGTTGTAAAGATAATTACTGTAGTCTATAGGTTAAGTAAATCACACAAGTTTAAATGTAATACTTGATGTAATCGGTTACTGAAAAGCCCCCTTTGGGAGCGAGCTGAATAATATTTGTATGTATAAGTTCGTGTAGTTGTTTTACCTCAAAAGGTTGCCACAACAGCCTGAATTGCAGTGCTGCAGGTTTTATTCCTGCCTGAAGGCCTATAGTTGCTCCTGGTTACTGTAGGCCTTAATAAAATAAATGTATAAAATTCATGCCTGTAGAAAGTAGGAAGTTATGGATACTACCTCTAAAGTCTAAAGGTTTAACTCCAAACCAAAATATACACTTGAGTAACTTGTGTAATTCAAAACTAACTGAGTTGAAATATGAATTATGGAGTTACTGGCTAACTCCAAAAATAATTTGGAGCTACAGTAGATATAACTCCAAAAAGCATGAAAAATTTGTATCTAAGCCTTGAGTTACGGGCTAACTGCCTAACTCCAAAGAGTATGTGTAGTGAGGCGAGCCAGCCTAGCCGCTACAGTAGGTATGTGAGCCTGAAGTTACTTGCTGTGTGTTGCTAACTCTTGTTCAGAGGCTAAATTTTGATCTGCAGTTGTGGTGCAACCCATTCTCGTACCCCTCCACCCTTGTCATGCTTTGTTGACCGTGTGGAAGGCGGACTCTGGGTACGAGAATGTGGCATAGCGTATAGCTCCATTTGAAGATTGGCTACCTCCACAAAAGTCAAATCTAGAGGTACAATATGATAAAATTCACATTTGAAATTTCCATTCTACAATTAGTTATAAAGAGTATAGATGCATGTCCAAAATCTGTATAACTGTTCAATAATTTCTGTTACCCAGTATTACCATTTGAAGTGCACAGGCAATTGCTGTTTTCACAATGTGCAGGTGTGGCTGAAAATGGCCAAAAAGTGTGTTGGAGGGGGGGGGGGTTAGAGTTCTCTTGTTTTAAATATTTGTCAGTAGGTATGTTTTACACATTAGAATATGAAAGATTTCTTACCATTTAAATTAAACACCAAATTTTGTTTTTCTTGTTCAAATCTTGTTTTTCATTGTATGCCATTTTCTCAATTATGCTCAGCTGTAGCAATTTTCCGATTTAGATGTGCCAAAAATAACATAACCATTATAAAAAAAAATGTTAAGATTGTTCAACTTCAAAACTATGTTCAAGAAGAATTCAATTGAAAACCAGATCAGTGTTGTGAGAGTGTCATCTAGCTTGAAGTATTTTTGTCTGTTATTGGTTATTATGCATAATTTGTGAAAACAATGCCTGTTGGCTTCAAAAGTTTCAGTTTGACTCAGCCCATCAACACCTTGTGCTAGGCCACAAAAATGCCAATTAATGTGTGAGACACATGAAATTTCTTTCATGGCAGGGCTTCAAATTTGAATTTTTCAGCAGTATCCAGCGGGATACTAGCAACTTAAAATCTGGTATCCACCCAGAAAATCTAGTATCCCACATTTGCAAAACATCTGTTCGTTCACGAGCGTAACCCATGGAAAGGATTTTTTCAAGACATTTTAAATTTTTGACAACGCTTTGTTTCTTAATACTTTGCTTGGCTTTGCCACTTTTTTGAGCATATCTTTCTTGATCAGTCAAATTTAATCGCTTTCACTTTGTTTATCTTCTTGTATTATTTTCGATGGTATTTTGTCGAGAAATCTCAGCTGTGGACAGAATTTGTTTCAGTATCCCTCGGGATACCTCGTGATTTTCAGTATCCAAATTTAATACTGCGAATTTGAAGCCCTACATGGTGGTGGAACTCACAGGCTAGCTGAGTTTCATTAAATTGCCGATTTTTTCTTCTGGCTGACATCCATTCCTGTGATTGTTGAACATCCTGAGAGGATTAAATCCACAATCTAGTGATGCACCGATAGTCTGATATCCATATCGGATATTGGTATATCGGCCCTAAATTGAAACTTTAGGCATCAGTATTTTTGTTGCCGATATTATTGGTATTGTATGAACAAATTTATACAATATATTTTAAATTTAAAGTATATTTTGGATTCCAATTTGGTTGTAACACTCAGTGACCCAAATATATCATGATTATAAATTCAATTATATAGCCATATTCAAAGATGCTATCAATGTATACAGTCATATATGAAGTGTGTTAATGCATGATTGACCACTCTAGTTCTGTTATGATGAAGTTTCTACAGTACCGGGTATATCGGTTACCGGCATCAGCCAATATTGGCTCTTGAATATTGATTATTGGAATATCAGTAAATTTTCATATTGGTACATCATTACCACAAATATTATATGGTGCTGTGCTGTATATTTAAAACACTCGCCTAGATATGTTTTGTGTTTTTTTTTCTACCAGGAGTAACTAGTAATGATGCAAGAGGATGGAAGTAAAGGTACTTATTTTCTTACATGAGAAATTAGTGATTAGAATTTTTTATTATATGGCAAGCATCACTTCCGGTGAAATGGCGGACTGTGATTGGCTGAGAAGCACTTTCAGCGTCCATTATTTTCCTGTAATGGACTGGCGGTCCATTACGTAAAAACAAACGAATGCATTTTAAAACAAAACAACAAAACTAATTGAAAATTATAATTTAATTTGTTATTAATAAGATATCTGCAAATGGTTTTTAGTTGAAAAGAAGGAATACACATTATTGGTATTTTTTGTTTTCTTCAACTAAATGTGTATCACACTACTAATATGCATTTTAAATCATGCATTTCTTGTTTGTTTCAAATATAAATGCCATATAATAAACTTTTTATTAATTGCTCCGTATGTACAAAAAAAGTATCGGACCTCGGTCTTTTTGTGCAAACCTCACCCTACGGGCTCGGTCTGTTAAGAGCAACCTGCAGGTTTTATACTTTATACTGTATAGTGTTTCACATAATTTGCACAATTCTAAAACATGCTAGTATTTACTAGGATACTGCTATTAAAAATCAAAGTCATGAATGAGCAACAAAGTCAAATGAGTCATGATTCAGTATAGAGCAACCATGATGAAAAACAGTCCATGTTGTCATTGTTGTGTACACTGTACAAGGGAAGGTACATACCTCTCTGAGATCATTTTCATCTCCTCAGAGATTTTTTGCACCTGCCCTTTGGAAAGATCAAATGATATAGATCAAAGTCAAAATTTGACTCAAACTTAAGAGTTACAGTATAGCTTGTCACTAAATTTATATGTGTTGGTTAGGGTCTACACATTGTAACAAGGTTTTCTGTAAAATTGAAAAATTGATAGTCATTCATCTCTCTGTCAAAGACTCTTTGTAACTCGACGAGTTGTTACATTAACATATGTATAGTACATGCATAATGTCAAGTATTTGACTTCAGAGAGCTTTGTTCTAAGCCCTACATTAACATCCCAGGGAGGCTGTGTGAGACCAACTTCCTTCAAATCTTTTCCACCTCTTCTAGCATTTTCACCCACCAAAATCCAGCATTGACTCAAAATCTTGCCTTATAGTATTTGCTGTCATGATGATTTTGGAAAGTTTGGCATTACTGATTAAAAAACTGCATTCATTTCTTGCATTTTAGGCGAACTTCCTGTTAAAGTAACAATCAAGGATGGAAAGAAACCTGCAGAGGTAATTTCTACTGTTTCATGCAGTACTTAACTGGTACTGTACAGTAACACACATAGGAATGTTGGAAAATATGTGTTACAAATATGTGTGTTACAATATATATCTCAGTTTAGAACTGAGAAGTTAGTTTTTTACTCTCCCCTTGATGAGTAAAATCGTCTGGCATTAGACTTGGACATACTTCCATTTATGGGGAAACTGTTTGCTTACATATTGCACTTGCGTAATACAGTATTATTGTAGGTTGAAAGTTTCTTTGAGGTTCCGCAAAGGTCTTAAGATGTTTGTACGTAATTGTAAACAAACATTTTTATTTTTGTTCAAGGTGTTTAGAACTGATTTGATTACAGCAATGAAGATTCCTGATCATCAGCTTGTCACACCTGGTACATATTTTGATCTTTGTGATCCCTGGAAACAAGAATGGGAAAAAGGTGTTCAGGTTGTAAATTGCTGTATTTCACTAAAAACCTTTTTTCAATGGGCTAGTATACTGCAGGGTCTGAGATTTTAAATTTTGTTCAGTACCCCACTGCCACTCATGGGATACCAGGATTCAAAGTTCAGTATTATCCCATCTGAGAATCCAGTATCCCACTTCTGGATACTGGTTACCATAATTTTTTGTTAAAATTAGTAGTCATCATTTATATTATTGCATAAATTAAGTATTTTGTTTTAAGCGATATGATTGGATGCCAATGGACGGTGATCACATGACTTTCGAACACGTTGTTTTATTCCTTATCTTCTGTGTCGAAGTATAAATAGTTATTCATGCATCGAACGTAATACGTTTATTTTTCATATTAAATAACATGGTTTTTAATAGGTTATGGGCCCAGGTGCCGCTTGAGTGTACGATACATTACGACTTACGTATGTCTTACTTGACGGGAATAATATTTTGTGTTTACTGAAGCGTAAACGTGCCGTTGAAAGGTGCAAACTAAGCTATTGTTTGCGAAGAAAAATTCAAAATGGCGGAAATCACGAGGATTACAAAGATTGAACATTTAAACGGAAAGAACAACCAATCATGGAATTACTATATAACATGAAATTAGTATTGATGAAGCGAGGATTATGGGATTTTGTAAATGCAACTGAGGAACAACCAGCTGAAACCGCCACTGCACAGGTAAAAAGTGCGTATGAACTAAGATCTGACTAAGCATATTCATTGATTGCACTAAGCGTTGATAAAAATCTACAAGTTCACATTAGTACAACAACAGATCTTTTGGAAGCTTGGGAGACACTTCGCAATTCGAGTTCGTTTCTATCACCCAAATCGTAAGATTAAACCGCAGATTTTATGCTGCTACTATGAAAGAAGATGGCGATATAATGCAGCATATTACGTGCATGACAACACTGGCAGAGCAATTGCGAGACATGGAAGAGGAGATTTCAGATCAGAAATTTGCCACAGTGGTTTTAGGAAGCCTTCCTGAATCGTATGAAAATTTTATTTCAAGTTTGAATGCTCAGAAAGTAGAAGATCTTAAATGGGAAAATGTCAAAAGCTTATTGGTTGAAGAGTACATGAAGCGAAAAGAGAAGCAAACAGAGAGTCCTGGTCAGAACGATGCATTATTTTCGAGGAAGAGTAATTATTCATTCCGTGGAAGGAATCAGTTTCGTGGTGGCTGACAGTATGGCAACAATACCCGAGATGGTGTACACAATCAGAGGAGACCAAACCAGATGCGGGGAATTAAATGTGAAAAATTTGGCCACGTTGTTAAGAACTGTCCTCTTAACAAGAAATCAAATGTCACTGAAGAAGGCGAGTAAGATAAACGAAGAAATCAAGGAATAGCTTTACCTTTAAGCTCTACGTCCACCAATAAAGGGCGAAATGATCAATGGTTCATTGATAGAGGAGCAACTAAACACATGACATTTCAGAGGAATATTATAGCTGATTACAAGAAATATGAGGAGCCATTGAAGATCTACCTTGGAGATAATAGAAAGATGCAACATTACTTTAAATTTACATGAAGTATTATTTGTCCCAGAAATTCCCAGCGATGACCCAAATGGAAGCTGAGGTTATATTCGACGATGAAAAATGCTATATAATCAAGAATGGGAAGACAATCAACATTGGACATTTGCTCGATAGTAAGTTGTTTGTTGTAAACACTCAGCCAGACTATGTTAACATTACAACAACAAAAGCCCCAACACGAAGGCAATGGCAGTGTAGATATGGGCACTTAAACTTTGGATACGTCAACAAATTGGCAAAGGGGTACTCAGTCACTGGTATGAAATATACTAAGGGTGAAACCAACCAAATGTGAAGCATGCACAAGAGAAAAGTGAAGCATGCACAAGAGAAAAGATGCATCGAATACCAGTTCCGAAATAAAGCTCAAATAGAACGACTCAACCGCTGGAACACAGTGATGTATGCCGACCAATGAACATTGACTCCATTGGTCGAAGTAAGTACATTTTGGTATTTACTGACGGTTATACTAGATATTTAACCGTGTATTTTCTGAGAAATAAGTCAGAAGTTTATGAGGAATTCCAAGAATATATTAGCATGGTTGAAAACGTTACTGGATTGAAAGTAAAAACATTGCGAACAGACAATGGTGGAGAATATGTTTCTAATGATTTCTCCAAATATTGTGCAAATGAAGGAATTGTACATCAGTACAGTAATCCTTACACTCCAGAGCAAACTGGTGTTTCGAAAAGATTAAATCGAACACTCTTGGAATCTGCCAAGTCCATGATATTTCATGGCTTGCGAACATGCCAATCAACTTTTGGGCAGAAGCTGTCAACAGAGCGGTGTACTTACACAATAGAACTAAGAAGTCCCACACACCCCTAAATATGAAAACAACTTATAAATTCTGGTTCGGTAAAAAGCGGGATGTTAGATGTATCAAACCTGAAAGTATTTGGATCAGTTTGTTTCATCCATACACCCGGCAATCTACGACGAAAGCTTAACCCTAGATCGCGAAAAGCTGTATATATATGATGTACAATAACAGTAGTAGAATCAAAGAAATTTGTGCACAGTAGAGATGTAGTATTCTATGAAAACAAGTTTCATGATTTTGAAGTAGTCACTAAAGAGTTAATCATACGAGAAGATGCACCAGAAGGGAAATTAAGTGTCGATCATGAACAACACCATGATGCTGAAGATCAAGTCCATGTACCTGACATCGAGGACGAAGAAAATGTACCAGCAGTCGGAGAATCATACGAAAAAACGCGATAGTTTTCTGACGAAAAACGGTTATAGAAAGAGCAATGCAGATAATTGCATTTATGTGAAGTCCATAGTGAAGTTTCGTGATTTTGGCTGTATATGTTGACATAATTCTCAAACGACATCAACATGTTAAACGCAGAGAACGACTTGTTATGTTACGTAAGCATTTTGAAATGACGGATCAAGGAGAAATTCATTTTATACTCGGTATGACAATTAAGCGTAACAGAGAAACCAAAACGCTATTCATCAACCAACAGAAGTATCTAGAGAGTGTGTGGATAGATTTGGTATGGCTAATTGCAAGCCGATTTCTACTCCTCTTGAAACAACTTACCATAAGCGGACGGAAGAGGAAGAAGGATTCGATAAGAATTTATATCAACAGGCTATAGGATGTTTGACACACATCTCGACACGACAATTAAGACCAGACATTTCTGCAGCAGTTAGTATATTGTCTTCATACATGTCGAACACTCGAACTCCAGCAAGGAACGTTGGAATGGAGTCAAAAGACTTATAAGATACATAAAAGGGACTTTAAAGTTTGGATTGAAATTTAAAGCGTGTGAAAATGATGATGAGAATGGAGACGAGTTGTATGGTTATTCTGACGCCAACTGGGCAGGAGACGTTGATTCTCGACGTTCAACCTTTGGTTATAACAAGCGAGTGTGATGAAATCAACTACCAAAGCGGAATACGTAGCGTTAAGCCAGGCAACGCAAGAAGCAATTTGGATGAGGCGATTATATTATCAGATATTGCTTGTAAAAGTGAAGAACCCACCACAATGTACGAAGACAACGAAGGTGCTATTGAAATTTCAAAGAACGCTAGATTTTTTTTATAAACAATATTTTAATATAATCAAAACTTGGCAATTGCGCCAAGAGCCAAAAGGCATATAGACGTCCGGTTTCATTTTCATAAGAGAAAAAGTATTATCAAATGAAGTTAAAGTTATCTACAGTATTGTTCAACTGAAAATATGTTGGCGGACATAATGACAGAGGGATTAACAAAAAAGATATTTCAAAGACTACGAAGCACGTTGAATGTTTGTTCATTTAAGAAAGTTAAGATAAGTTGACATTATCAAATATTTTTAACAAGAGATAATGACTAAATTATTCTAAATGGGAGTGTTAAAATTAGTAATAATCATTTATATTATTGCATAAATTAAGTATTTTGTTTTAAGCGATATGATTGGACGGTAATCACATGACTTTCGAACACGTTGTTTTATTCCTTGTCTTCTGTGTCGAAGTGTACAGCTGTTTCAATTAAGGTTGTCCCCAAGCAAAGCGGAAAAGTCGAATACGAGCGCGAAAGAATGCTGGGAATCGCTAATAAATTTATTAATTTTTTAACGATTCCCAGCAGTCTTTCGCCCTCGTATTCGACTTTTCCGCTTTGCTCGTGGACAACCTTAATTGAAATAGCTGTATATACATGTATTTATTCATGTGTCGTACGTAATACGTTTATTTTTCATACTAAATAACATGGTTTTTAACAATTTTGGCATCCCAGAATCATCACAGAAGTACAGTATACAGGCCTATACAATACATGTTTCTCATTGTTCTAAATTACAATAAGAAACTCAACAATCAACAACTAGATAAAGTTGGAAATCAAAGGCTGGTTATATTTTCAAGAAGGCAGACTCGTATGCAAAGCTATTAGTTGACCACCAGAGACATTAGCATTATCCTAATGTTTGAAATTTTGCAATATCCGGTCAGGATACAAGTCATTCACAGTTTAGTATCCAAAACCATTATGCGAACATTTCTTTGAGAAGAATATTGACAATGAAAATCTCAAAGATCTTTTACCACAAACAGTTTTATCTGGATATGATCTAAGACCGATATGTAAATATCATAATTATGTTTGTAGAACTGAACGTTTTAAGAATTCGTTTTTACCTCAAAGTATATTAAAGATTAACAGTAAATAAGTTTTTAGAAATGTAAATAATTTTAAATATGTAATTATTATGTAATTTTAACTTCTCTTAATTTATGTAATACTGGTGTAATTTAATCTTTTTGGGTTACAAAGTCAGTAATCATTAAATCAATTCAAAACCAAATTTAAGTATCCTGTGGATATCGCACACTGCGAATTTCAGACCCTGTATACTGTATAGTCAAATACAAAATACTCCAATTCTGAATGATATAACCTAGGTGTGTATACGTTGCTCAAGTCACTTTGCAAATCATCAGCATTCGGGATGTGCGGATGTCGGATACCGGATAGTACCGGATAGTAGGCTACCGGATACCGGTCAGGAGAAAATGATGACCGGATAATAACCGGATACCGGATAATAACCAGATACTCCCATACAATAATTTATTAGAAACACAACATTTTTATAGCTTAATTAACTAGTCCAATGTGGCAATGTGTTTAATACACATTTTTTGTCTCATTGACATATTTGTCTTTACCAAGGCCATATCTTATGATTCACCTTACATTGTTTACTGGTATTCAGTATATAAAATTCACTGCTGTTGGCGAACGAGCAGTTCACATCACCATCACGAAAAAAATATGTCGTAATTTCGTCGTAATGCAGCGCACGCTCAGTAATTGTTCGTGTTTCACAATTTGTAAACGCCAAGTAAACTTTTCCGTTTCATGGTTGTAAAAAATATCTTACAATACTATCCGGTAAATATCCGGCAAATTTATACCGGATAGCGGATAGTGCCGGATGTCCATGATACCCTTGTTTATTAACACTTGATATCCATGGGTTTAAATAAAAATCAAATAAAATGTACAGTACCTGTAGTCCAATAATAATAAAGTTGTTGGAAGTGCAAACAGGATTTTCAAAATAAATTTCAAAACTCTATACTGGTATTAAATATTTATTGGAACCACATTGTCTGGAAGCAAGAGCAGACATGTTGTCCTTGCTGTGAATTTTAATAGTTTACTGCATTTAGGTGACTAATGTGGATAATGATGTTATGTGAATTTTAATAGTTTACTGCATTTAGGTGACTAATGTGGATAATGATGTTATGTGAATTTTAATAGTTTACTGCATGAGGTGACTAATGTGGATAATGATGTTAGCTCAGTAAATCGAATTCGAGTTCCACTCACAAACCCCAAATCATTAATTCAGCCTAAGAAAATAAACACTCGGTATTTTGAATGGATAGGCAGCCTATACCCCTTGTCAACTCACCCAAACCGTCTAAAAATCACATCAACAACGTCGCCTGCAGGAATGGTAGAAGAGGAAAAAAGATTAATAACCATTATAAATCATCCAGAGCAGGTTGGAAAGGCCGTGTGGATAGAAATAATAATAAAAATATTTTCCCTTTTTTTCGGCGTCGTTATCAAACCAGAACTCCGATTCGAGGCTTTCGCTGTACAAAGGACTGGCGGGAGTATTTGGACTTTGTCCACAGGGATCAACAATACCATCGACACTTATGACAACCCCTACCTCCGCTGAATCCACTGATGGAGACCCCAATGTCTCTCCTCGATCGCTATCCTCGCCATTTTTAGCATTTAATGTTCCGACTTCCCCGGAACAGAGACCGGAATCACCTCCTGAGACATACCGTCCATCAAACCCCTGTTATAATATCCCTATTCAAATTACTCAACGGTCCGCAAATACCCTGTATCGTGACTAAAGTGTTAATCGGGATAACTTAATAAGAATCCAAGTTGGAACTTCTAGTTGCAGTCATGCTAATAATTTAAACAGCGACAAACCTGAACCTAATCTACCGGGTTTTTACCTTATAAACGCTCGTTCTCTTTTAACCAAAAATGGATAAATTGACTCTCTTATTGAATACACATCCACTTGAGGTTGTTGCTATCACCGAGTCATGGCTTAACGATGAACCTTTCCAACTTATTGCACTAAGGCAGAAGAAGTGGGCAGAGGGACCTTTCCAACTTATTGCAGGCTTTCCTTGGTAGGGATGCAACTGCTTGAAAAATTCAAAGGCACGACCTGCACTGGCACAGACCGTTCAATAACTTAAAGTGCCTATATCGTGGTTTTGGAGTTTGCATATCTCGAAAGTTTAGGGTATTTTAAGACACTTTGCAATATATTTTGTTATTGAAAAATTTCATCTTGATGGATTTATTAGCTCTTAAAATTACCGGACATGACGTCAAAAGGAGAATTGCAAATCAGTTTTCCTTTGTATCATTGCAACAAAATTCTCCTTTTGACGTCATGTCCGGTAACTTTAAGAGCTAATAAATCCATCAAGATGATATTTTTCAATAAACAAAATATATTGCAAAGTGTCTTAAAATACCCTAAACTTTCGAGACATGCAAACTCCAAAACCATGATATAGGCACTTTAATGCACATATGTTTTTTTGTTGTACATGACCTACTATTTTTGTATTTACAATACCTTGAATTAGGATGTCTGACAGCCTGACTATCAAGATTATCTAACTTATGTAATTATTTTTAGGTTCCTGTCAACAAGGAGTCTTTACCGCAACCATCTTTTACGTAAGTTTATATATTTGGTATATTTGGAGCATGTAATTTTGTCAAAAATCATTAAAAAAATCATGGTTAAAATCACATAACAACAAATATAGTTGGCACTTGGCAAAATGCCAAAATCAAATATACTGTATACAATATATGCGTTGGAATTATTTAAAAATTGGGTCAGAAAAGTTTGTTCTATTCCTTAAATTAAAGATTCCAATGTTATGACTTGTGAACTATTTTAGAGATCAAGTATTTCTGTCAGAGTAACACAACAAATATATAAAGTCCAGCCAGGGGTTCAGGTATATTGGTAGATTGGTACAGTATATTTAAGGCCACGTTACTTTCCAATTCGAAAATTTCAGGTCCTATTGGGAGTCCAATTGGAAAATATTCCACTCCTCTGTTCTTTGAAAAAACTGGAGAGGTGTGTGATGCAGACCTCATAAGCAGCAGGCTCTATCTAATTTAATTGAAAACGAATTGAGAGATGTAGTTAAATATTTTTTTCTTCTATTTTCAAAGTGAGACTTACAGTTCATGCAGGCAATCATAAAAAATAATTTGTAAGGCCTAACAAAACATATGCTGTGGTCCAGTTTCATATTTTGAAAGAATACATACTGTACTGATGTTTGTGGTGTTACTCTGAGTGTATATCCACACCGGACGAGCTTGAAAAATATGCCCGGCCACGGTGGGAATCTAACCTACGACCTTTGGAATACTAGCCCAATGCTCTGCCAACTGAGCTACGCGGTCAGGACGGTTGAGTAAGTGATATTTCGGAACAGAATCTAGTCCCTTCGATACCAGTGTAATCTTGTATATTATTTTTTCTGTGTTGGTGTTGTGTACTCAGGTGAATATGATGTTTGTGGTGTTACTCTGAGTGTATATCCACACCGGGCGAGCTTGAAAAATATGCCCGGCCACGGTGGGAATCGAACCTACGACCTTTGGAATACTAGCCCATTCGATTCCGACCGTGGCCGGGCATATTTTTCAAGCTCGCCCGGTGTGGATATATACTCAGAGTAACACCACAAACATCATATTCACCTGAGTACACAACACCAACACAGAAAAAATCATATTACAAGATTACACTGGTATCGAAGGGACTAAATTCTGTTCCGAAATATCACTTACTCGAACCGTCCTGACCGCGTAGCTCAGTTGGCAGAGCATTGGGCTAGTATTCCAAAGGTCGTACTGTAGGTTCGATTCCCACCGTGGCCGGGCATAGTTTTCAAGCTCGCCCAGTGTGGATATACACTCAGAGTAGCACCACAAACATCATATTCACCTGAGTACACAACGCCAACACAGAAAAAATAAGATACTGTACTGTTCTAGGTCATAAAAAATGTTTTTTGATTTTTCTTGTCTTTGGTCAAGCAATTGTGATCCGTTGGCATTGCCACAACACATAAACATTTAAAGAAGCAATTTTACTGTAATAACTGTGACAATGGATGCCATCAGTTGTATAATCATAAAATGACCAACGAAAAATCTAGGGTCGTTAAGTAAACAAAAACACCGCCACACATCCATGAAAACAAGAGTTGGTGGTATCACTTTAAGCCTTTAAGTTATAAAGTTTATCTTTACAAGCAGACTAACAGTAAAATATATATTTTTTAGCATTTCAAACTCGGAAAAGTCTTTTCAGACAGAGTTTAGAATGTAAGTATAGGGTCTTTTTTCCTGTCGTCTCTTTTAAGTACTGTACTACTGTAACTATCTTAGTAACTAAAGTTTGACATTTGCACCTGTGCATTACTGTAAATTGAAACTTATGCAGTATAATAATGCTAAGTAAACATATCTATACTATATTTAATATTTTGGCAATTACTGTAAAAATTCTTTACTGTATATTTGAGTTCCAAATATTGGTTACTGAGCTATCGCCTCCTCATCGCACTAATGAAACGTGGCGACTAAGTAAAAACGTATAAGATAGTGAAGTAATTCTAAAGGTCAGTGATCAAGCATTTCATTCTGCTTTTGCATATATTTGGCCAACATACTGAAAACTGTTGTTTATGTTATCTATATAAACTACAAAGAGAATACTTCATGATCATACTGTACAGTGTAACACATTGATTTAGTAAGATCTG